CCCGATGTTACAGTCATCAAGAGCTTTCATTTGAGTACCCACATTTATTTTTGATATATTTTTCATATATATATATATATATATATATGAAATATATGAAAAATTGATGTGGGTACTCAAATGAAAGGTCTTGACGAGTGTAACATCGGGATGAGCTAATATCTTTAAAAATGTCAAAAGTTCACAAGATACAAGGTCATTTAAGATAGAGCATTTTCGAATGCAGCCTAAATACTTATCATAATAAATTAACAATAAAAAAATTTTCAGGCGAGTAATTGAAGAAATAGATCAATCAGAATTCGAAGGGTTCGAGTACGTAAACCCACTGTTGATGTCTCTGGAAGACTGCGTGTGACACGAGCGGCTAGATGAAGAAATCTATCGTGAGGATTATCACCAAGAAGAGTATCACTGTCATTATCATTATCACCATGACTATGAGCCTCACCACAATCACGATTACAATTACGATTACAACTACCAGCATCAACAGCTGCACTATATCCAAGAACTCCGGAGTAAATTACTCCAGCAGTCTTCTTCTGGTCATTCTGTTAATTATGGCACTACTGATAGATATAATAATTCACTAAACTCACAAAATATATTTATGGTTAACAATATTTATAACAAGGATCAGATTGAAAACGATAATTCAAATTACATTTATAATCACTACAGATTATCTCCGCCGTCGCAATTTCACTCTCAATCTGATAACACCGTTCATTTTCAACGAATTGAAAATATTAATGACAGCCATATTGTTAATAATGAAAATGTTAATGATAATGATAATGTTAATGATGATGATGATGATGATGATGATGATGAAAATGGCGATGAAGATCGTAGTTGTACTGACTACGATGACGTCGAAGATAATCCGCGGAAAAAATTGTTAAAACAGATGTTCTGCCTTCCGTTGAATTAATTTATTAATTTATTATTAATTATTATTTTTAGTATTATTTTATAGAATTTTTTAAATTTAATAGACACCACTTTTTTAATGCCACGATGTCGTAAGCTTTATTCAAAAAAATTTTCATTGCAATACTCAAAAAATATTTTTTAAATTATAAAAAAAATTATTCGAAATTTTTTTTTTAATTTTTGTAACTAAATTATTATAAAAAAATATTTTTAACAATTTTCACTAATTTTTTAAAAATTTATATACGTGAAATTTTAATAATAATTTAGTTACAAAAAATAATTTTTTAATTTCTTAAATTATAAAAAAAAAATTATTAAAAATTTTTTTTTTCAACTTTTGTAACTAAATTATTATAAAAAAATTTCACATTTATAAATTAAAAAAAAATTCTTCTCCAAAGTGCAATTTAAAAAAAAAATTTTTTTAGATGTCAGCTGACTAGTATCATTAATTACTGCAATTATAAATGTGAAAAATTATAATTATAATGTTAACAAAAAAAAAATAAAATTTAATTTAATCACTTACGTCACTCGTACTCTCAATAATTAATTTGTATTAGAATAAAAGTCACTTGAATGTCATTAATTAATTTTAACAAAAATTAAAAAGCAGTAAGGTCAGCGTGACCTTTTAAAAAAAAAAGTGGCTATAAAAAATAAGTGTAATTAATAAATTTTGCTTACGACTAAATGGCATTAAATAATTAAAATCTAGATAATATAAAAATTAATACAATGCAAGCGATTTGATAGGAAATTTTTATAGAAATTTTGTTTTATAAAATAAAAATAGTTTTTAAAAAACTTCCAAGGTGCTAATCAAAGTCCTGATTAAACCTTTTATTTAACGCATTCCGAGTTTTTAAATATTAAAAAATTTCAATAATTATTAAGTAAAATTACAAGTACTGTAATTTATTAATTACTCAAGTTTATTTTAATATTTATGTCTTATGGGAAAAGGAGGATCGAAAGTATATTATTAATTATTATTGTTATTATTTTTAAACTTTAATTATTTTTATTGTTTTCATTAATTACTCTACTAATTTTAATTAATATATTCAGTATTTTTTTTACCTTGATATTAAAAAAATCGTAGAAATTAATGCTCATATTATTTTGTATCGTTTATTAATAAATACTTACACTTAAAATTATTTTTATTTTTAATTAAAAAAAATATTTTTTTTCTACAAATTAATTAGGACTATAAATTACTCAACTGTAAAATAAAAAAATTTATCACATTAGATCAGGTAATAAATTCAGGTTGTTAAGTAATTAAAAATGCAATTAAGCCTTTTACAAGTAAGTAGTGAGATGAAAAAAATTTAATATTCAAAATATTTTTATTTAAAAAAATTTTGTGTCAATTTTTTATTAAAAAAAATCAAGCCAAAATTTGGAATAATTTCAAGTTGAAATTTTTTAGTTAATTGGCTTGACTGGGCCGTTAAAAATGATTTAAAATTATGAAAATTTATATTGATAAATTGTTCGTTGAAAAAACGTTATACCATAGATTATTAAAGTGAATTTATTCCAGGCGATATATCGAGTATTGAATAAAATAGAACATTGCCTTCTACGAATATAAATAAATCTTTAAATTATTACTATATTGAAATTATTATATTATTACTATTAAAATTGCAATGTAAATAATAATTTGAACAAGAGAAGTAATAAATAAACGGAAGCTATTAAATTAATAATTACTTTGAAGTTTATTTTTCTACCTTCTAAGTTTATAAATTTTTTTTCTTATAGTTATATTAATTTAATTAAACATTCTTAGAGTAGAATTTAAAAATGAAATTTTAGCTAAATAAGAAGAGATAGGAAAAAATAATAAGGACTTTTTAGTAGGGAATTAAATTTTCTTACAAAAAAAGTTTTTTATAATTTTTTTTATCTTCAAAATTTAATCAAAAAAAAATTGAGAATTTTTTTTTAAGAATATTTATTTTTAAAATATAAAACTTAAATTAATCGATTATTAAATTATTAAATTTTTGTCACAAAATGGCAACTGCCTGAAAAAAAAAAATTAATTTTTGTACCACTTTTTTTTGAGTTTTCCGAATTTTTTAAAAATAGTAAATATTTAAATTTAAGGATGAGGATAGTTCATGCGATAGAGAAGTCTACAAAGAAGACTTCAACCAAATTTCAAGTAATAATTCGGTTCAGTAGAACTTGAGAAATCGTGGGTATCTTTTTAAAAAAGACAGTTTCAAGAAAAACGTGTTTAAAGTTTCTTGTAAAGTTTTCCGCAGTCTAGTTCCGGCCAGGCCAGTTTGGATGCTGCGTTAGCCATTTCTCCCAAAATAATTTGAATTTTTTATAATCCTTATAAAAATATATTCTTAAAGGGTTAAGCTTTGAAAATATGAAAAAAAAAAAATCAATTTTTTCAAATTTCTAGACCAGAATATCCTCTTAAATTCACTGAAAAAAAAGTTCAGGGTTCGAATCCTAGACAAAGTAACTTTAGACAAAGTAACATTTTAAAAAAATGAATAACAAAAAATTGATTGATAGATAAATTTTTATTACTCATCAGTATTTCGATGGCTTACAATTATTAACTCACTCATACAATTTTTAATCAACGTTCGATTAATTGTCCACTTACGCTTATAATCTTGGTTTGAATTTGTGCCTTTTCAAGGTTTCAGATCATTCTCACCGATAGTCAATTTATTATGATAAGTCGCGTTACTGATGCCACAAGGGCGTTTCTCGAAAAAAATACCCTTGAAAAGCCATAAGGGCGTATAAAAAATTTTTTCCGGGAATCGACGTAGTTATGCCTGAAACGGGCAGAAATGCAAAAAAAAATTTTGGTACGCCCTTATGGCACCCAGGGTATCTACCGGGAGCCATAAGGGCGTACCAAAAAATTTCAAATTTGAAAAAAATTTTTTTTCGTCATTTCTATGTATTTCAAGTAAAAATACGTTGTTTCCCGAAAAAAAAATTTTTTGCTACG